GGGGGGGGGGGGGGCACATTCATATATTCGTGTTCTGCTTCATTAATTTCTTTTGAAATCAATCGTTTTTATGGTATGTGAACACGAATATATATGAATATGCCCCCCCCCCCACAATTATCGTTCTGGCTATGCCATTGTATAACTCTACTGATTATATTTACCTTGAATGAGTCTATGGGCATGAAGGTGACCTTGGGAGCACTTCAACTCCAAACTATCAAACATTTTATTGCAATAGCTACAACAAATAATAACAACAATTATTAATGCTCCACTGTTTTTGATTAATATATCTACTAGAAAATACATCCATGCAGAAACCCTCGCCTTGCTGAATTCCAAACATGAAGTATTGTCATGGTTACACAATATTATAAGAATAATTTTAAAATTGAAAATCCTCCCAAAATATCACTTTTAATTACAAAATGATCAATTTCCCAAACATACATATTCTAGGTATGTAATTATACGTAATATAAGCACAGGGAGCCCATCCCATGTCTTATTGAAAGCAAATATTGAATGTACATATAGTATTTATATAGCTTAGTGCTAAATCTAAGAGCGCGCAGCCTGGTTGCGGGCTGACGAGAAAGGGAAAAAATAAAGGGATGAAACATTGGCGAAGGCTGTCCGAATGTGTTCCACAAGTTGCTATGACATTGTCAATCATCGTAATCGTAATCATACTTCGTAATCGTATTGCTATCGCGTTCAAATGTCAACAAAAGGTATTCTTTCAGATACTTTAAATATCTCTCAGACTCAGATTACAAACTTGTAGCGGTTTGACTGGTAAGTTATTCAAATTTTACTCATTCGTCTATTTGATTGAACTTTCCTAACGGTCAAGATCACTGACTTTGAAAATTTAAATGGTTTTTCTATATTTAAACTAATATTTTTTGTAGGGTTTTGAAGAGCTATGAAATGTGTATTAAAAGGAAAATAGTAAACATATTGCACAAATGAATACAATGTTCTCACAATATGCTTCATCCTAAAAGAAAATTATACAATTTCGACTGCCGATTTAGGACGGTTGGTACAACAGATTTTTCCCGGTGTTCAAAAAGTTAGGGTAAACTCTGACGACAAGAACAGCTATGCAAAACGAATACATGTATACGAAGGTATTTCGTTTGTAAATTCACCTACTAAAATGACTTGGAGTAACATTATGCAATACTTGTTGCCGTCATTCTTTGCCAAGCCAATGAATCATTTGTGGAGTGGGTTAATTAATGTTACCAATGATGTGTGTAACACTGAGCAGGTTATGAAGGAAATTAAAATCGATAGAGACCTTTTGTTTAAATTATGTGTCAAATATGAAGAGGTAAATATCGGACAGTATTTAAGAAACGCTGTTCCTTATAAACATTATTTTGACAACTTGTTTTCGTTTTTGTTGAATGCTCCATTATGCAAGGGGTTTAAAATCGATGTGGATAAGAAAACCACCAACAGAGATGGTACGGTTGTTGGAATAACAGAGAAATGGTCTTTCAGTTGTGCTGATCAGTGACGATAACCCTACATATGCCCAATATGGACCAACAATCAACAGTATTTTGCTGGGACAAACATCGGTGACCAATAAGAATAACATCTGTTCTGTTGAAAGTTTGTCATTCTATACACCATCGAAATTACTAGTTCTAAGGAAAAAGGGGTGAACAAGTCAATTCTAATCGCAATCACCCTTCCCATCCCCCCAATTGCAATCACTCCCTCTCCCCTATGTAACTAGTAGTACATTCATTAGCCATCAATGCTAAAATGTCAAACCATAAGTCTGATATTTTAGGTTGATATTGCCAAGTGGTCCAATTCACAATGTTGATGACATGTAATTGAATAATTGTTACTGTATTCTGATTTTGTAATGTTTCCATAAAACAGCCTTAAAATTATCAGGGTATCAAATAGACATGCACACAAGAAAAACTTTCTAAATGATAAGAAACAAAATCTTTCTTCAATATAAACATCAACAATAATTTTGAATGGTCGAAAAATGTAATGTAAAAAGACTTTAGAAGTGCTTACGTCACATGGTTTTAATGCATGTAAATTCCAGGTTATACTTTTATACATGTTTCCTACATCGCATTGCAATGCACTGTTTGACACTGGTGTGATGTAAGTACATCTAAGATATACTGAATAGTTATTTTTTTTCAAAAACCACCAAGAATTATCAATAAATTCATTCATTTATAATTATACAATGGTCTACTTATTCTTAATTATTAACCATTTTATAATTAATTGAAAATGTTATTGAATGCCATTCAAGTATTCTGGATCACTCATCTGATTGGTAGATTTGATGTGACTGACAAGACGGTCATTCAATTTGGATTTGTTCCAATTGCAACAAACTTCATGCCGTAATAGCGTGAGGCAGTTTCTACAAAAAACCGAAAACCGACTGGAAAAAACCAAAAAACGGTTTTCCGGTTTTTCTCCAAAAGTAACATCGAACATTTCGGTTTTCAAAAAACATCGTTTTTTTTCGGTTTACCAAAAAACTGCCTCACCCTATGCCGTAAGCTCTGTAGATGTGCTTAATTTCATCTTTATTATATACACTGGAATTAAAAACTCCAGGTCGTTTGGTAACCATAGTAACAAGTAACCTGTGGGAATCTTGTTTGTTTGCACTATGATCTTCTGACAAACATTTGATAGTTAGTCTTCCATCCTTCTGTTGTTTTGCAGCCTTCTTTTCCACAACACGCTTATGATGGGCCTTTTCCGGACTGTCAACTAAAAGCGGACTCTCAAATTTCGGTGTTTTATCTGCAGAACGCCACCTGATGCACACGCAATTTCCGAGTAAAGTATGCTTGAGCTAGTTTTGGTGTGAAAACGCAGGACGGCTTAAAAAATGTACGCAAAACGAACATAAAAATTTCCATATGATATGGCTAATTAAGATCAAGGGGTCAGGAAATTGGTTGCACATGTTCCCTGAGGGAATGTTAACCAGATGTTTTTTCTTGTCATCAAATTAAATAAATTAATCCTTTATTATATTATTATATGTGGTCTGTTGTATATTGGGTAGCTATATAGGTTTAGGTATTTCGTGTGTATATATATATATACATATATAATTCAACGTCTATCAGTAAATATAGTTTGTTCGTATAAACTAGACAATGCCAATGGTATAGTCGTATTAAGCACATATTGATATTTATGTCCATACGCACCGCGCGCTTGGCAAAATATGAACGTACAAAATATGAACACAACATAAGATCAAAGTATAGAAACAGTAAGGTCGGAATAAACCGTATATGCCCGCGGTCTTATTAGAGGAAAAGAGAAGCATTCTGAGATCAAATTGAAGTATAGGTCAGTGATGGACGATTTTCGCGCGAATTTCAATGGCACAAGCATGGTTGACGCTATATAAAATATAAAGGCGCACTGCAGGAAAACAACATAAGTATTCCTTTACCTTGTATATTTCTTGAGCAATACCATCCAAACCAAATTTAAATAATCTATTGAATCCCAGTTCGTTATAACAATGTTTACTAGCGTGAATGCGCGATCCTTCTTCATAATCAACGCAGTAGCTTATAATTTTGCACACTTTGCTCAAATGACGAATCACAGAGTAGGGTTACAACTAGGGTACCTGCAAGGTAGGGATTGCTGCGGGCATTAAAAGCAAATAGAACTACAGTAAAAAGCACAAATTATATCAAGCACAGTGATTACTCGCAGCATCTAGTGAGCTGTGAATGAGAAGAAGCAATATATATTGAAATAGCAAGTGTCATGCAAGTGTCGAGAGTCATGCAAGCAAAGACCAGGGGTTAAAGGGCAATCAGAGGTGACATATATTAAACATGTGCATCTCATTGACATACAGTTGATTTCATATCAAGTCTGTTTAATTCAAAATTAAACGAGACTTACCTGTAAGTTGATGTTTGATTTGGATTCTGTGAGTCATTGGTCGGGAGCGAAGGAGTCATGTGATTATATGACAAAGCGCGCGAACCGGAAGATCAGTTTTTAACCAGATCGTACTTGTACCAATACATGGGTCGGGTTTCAACACCATTGGGTGGGCACATGACTCCTTCGCTCCCGACCAATGACTCACAGAATCCAAATCAAACATAAACTTACAGGTAAGTCTCGTTTAATTTTGAATTCTGTTTCATCATTCATTGGTCATTGGTCGCTACGGAGTCATGTGATTATACAAGATTTTAAAGCAGTACGAGTACAATAACCAATACTCAGTTCAATGAAAGCCAATGACAGGCAAATTTTCATTATCACAAAACCTAACCATGAAACTGCAATAACACTTCTTATGATATATATTAGGTATATTAAGCCCTATTTTGTAACAAGTTGCCATAACTCTCTTTGGCTATTGGTTTTAAATAGTACTTCGCAAAGGTTGATTCCTGAGACCATCCAGCATTTTGCATAATAATGTCAATCGGTATGTTCATAGCTGTGGCTGCTGAAGTAGACGCTGACCGAGTGCTGTGTGCTCCAAATTTGGCAATGTCTATACCGGCCAGTGCTAGAGTGGTTTTTAACCAACGGCTGATGGTGTCGGCAGACATTTCTTTATATGGTTTCTGGACGCTAATAAATAATTTATGCTGATTGCCTCTCAATAGCTCTGTTCGTTTGATGTACTCTGAAATATGTGCAACCGGCCAAAGGTTTCTATCCAATGTGTAAGACTTAAACTCAACAGAAGTCAAATGTTTGCCTGGTCGTGAGGTTTTAAGCAATGACTTTATAACAAATGTACACTTGTTTAAACTTAACTGCATTGTGCTGATATCCAGTGCATGCATTGTTTGCCGACGTTGCCCCGACAACAAGGCTAGTAACATTACAACTTCATAGGTGAGCACTTTAAATGTCTGTTCCTCAGGCGGACCCAAGCCAGATAAGTAGTCCAACACCACATTCACATCCCAAGTCTCTCCATAATGTGGTAGAGATGGTCTTGTCTCGAATACACCCTTCATGAAGCGGCTTACTAGTGGGTGAGTTCCAAATGCTTCACTGTCCGATACCATAAGTGCAGTTGATGATGCACTCCTAGCTGTATTTAGAGCACTATACCCAATACCTTCCTCATAAAGTTCTGCTAGGAAATTTAGATCCATTTTTCTTGAATTACAGTACTGTAGCCATTTATTAATGTATGGTGTGTATTGTCTTTGTGTACTCTTCCTCCACGATGACAATATGACAGATAAAGCTGCTTCAGATAGTCCTTTATTTTCGAAGGCTTGCCTAAAACACGGCACAGTAGTAGTGTTAACTTGGATACAGTGGGTGTACAAGGTCTGATTTGGTGGGCAATTGTAACATCTTCTTGTTGTTTGGGAGAACAACTGGATTCTGGATGACCATGTGCATCAAATATGGCCACCAGGGTTGGGTTGGCCAATTTGAGACCACAATCAGCCCGGTACTCTCCTCCTCTCGAATTTTTTGCAAGACTAATGCTATTATGCTAAAAGGAGGAAATGCATAAAATAAGTATGATTGCCATGAGATTGTGAAGGCATTAACTGCCTCAGGATCAGGCTGGTAAGCAATAAAAGGTTTCAATTTATAATTTAATCGGGAGGCAAACAGGTCAATAACTAGTTTTACCCCTAACCTCTGGGTACCCTGTTGAAATATGTCTGGGTCTAAGGCCCATTCAGTTTGAGCTCTAGCTTTTCTAGATTCAGCATCAGCTGCTTCATTTTCTTTGCCTGGTATGTGTGCTGTAGTTAAGAACACCCGATGTATAATACACCAGGTCCAAATTTCTCGAGTTAAGTTGTTGCGATTTCTAGAATGGCTGGTACCCATTTTACCTATGTCTGATACTGCCGTCATGTTGTCTATTCTAACACATACATGTGAAAGGCCAATAGGTTTAAACAGGCTGTCAGCTGAATTAACCCACCAGTGCCAGTCATCATATGATGCTTTTGACAATATCATATCTTTATCAAAATTTCCTTTATTTAGTTTTAGTGCCTCAGTTTTGTCCATGTCAAGGTCCCTAAAATGTAAAGGTCCGAATTGCGCAGATGGGAAATTGGATACTAGTAGACCCAACACTGACGCCACCTGCCGAATTGTTGGGGCCGCATTTTGTATAAGTTTAGCCTGGGAACAGGCTCTCAAGCTGAATTGAGGGCCTGCATCGATGACTAATGAATTTGAATATCTGCATCTCAAATCGTGACGCGAAATTCTCATTGGTCAGATGCTATAATTTATGTTTCTGCTGAGCTCTATATATGTCAACTGCTGAAAAGCACTATGCATAAAAACACATTAACTGATCGAATCGGTCTTGGCCATCTTATCTCAAAGCACAAAATGTTCTGGTTTGAGAAAACAGTGTTTAAAACATTTGAACTTTTGCTTGAATGTCTTATATTTCGAAAAACTGTATGGTCTAAATTTAGTTTGCACGGTCTAAATTTAGTTTGCATGAAAGTTGTAAACAACACCATATAAGGATAGACATTCCATATTTGGAAAAACGAACGTTACGGGGCAGATATTCAAATTCATTAGTCATCGATGCAGGCTCTCAATTCAGCTTGAGAGCCTGTTTGCAGGCTAGTATAAGTTCTGTGCATAAAGCTTTTATTTTTGCCACCTTATCTTTACTGGGGTAAACCCTCATTTCTACAGAATTAATTGTAACACCAAGAATGGTCATCTGTTGTTTAGGTATCAGGGATGATTTGTCAGGATGGATCACAAATCCTACAGAGTCAAACAATTTTGTTGTGTCTAACACATTACTTGCACAATCATCATAATCGTCACCTTGAAGATAGGAATCATCAATGTGACTGACAGAAATATGACCTAGCTGTCTTAAGTATGAATTAATTGGTTTCAACAGCTTTGTAAACTTTCTAGGACAAAAGGCCAAGCCATTAGGGAAACAAGTAAACTTATACAGTTGCCCTTTCCAATTAAATTTTAAATACTTTTGATGTTGTGGATGTATTGGAACTGAATAATATGCATCCTTCAAATCTACTGAAGCCATAAAGCAGTTGGGCTTAACCATGTTTACAATGGTAGAGGAGGATTCCATTTTAAAATGTTTGTATTCGATAAATTTGTTTAGAGATTTGAGGTTTAGGATCATTCTTGCTGACCCATCCTTTTTTGCTGTTGTAAAAATAGGGGAAATATATTCCCCCTTTTCATGTTCCGTAAGAACAAGGACTCCTTTCGTAAGGAGAGTTTCAATTTCTACCTCAACTGCTTGTGTTTGTATGTGATCATATGTTCTCTCCTTAGGAACAAACAATTGAAAGGGCTTTTGCGAAAATTCAAGTTTTTTGCCCCAATACCATGTCTAAAATCTCAGCGTCTGAGGTAATAAACATCCATTCATTGTGAAATTCACGAAGTCGACCTGCGTTAAAGCATGCAACTTTATTTTGAAAATATGTTATAAGTGAATTACAAGTCAAAGTATTTACCTGTGTAATGGCGGGAAACGTCGTTGTTGTAGTTAATGCTGGCCGTGCTGGTTCTTCTTCCTGGCTTGGAATTGAGGCTTGTTTTGGTAGGGGCGATAATTGTTGCCCCTGCCTTGCCATAAAAAAGCCTTGCCGTTATTATTATTAGGAAATTATTTCCCTTTTTGACGGGCTTTTGAGGTGTCAAAACGGCGCCTAGGAAAGGCATTCTGGCTGGCTTGACTCTGGCTGCTCGTAGCTTCTTGGCTGATTTTATTCGAAGCTTTTATACTGGTTAACCGGGACTGCAAGTCATCCCCAAAGAGGAATTCCTTTATCGGTGTTTGGGATGAACATAAGGATGAATATTCCTTGTTTACGTGCGGTTTTATCAGCTCACGGCGATGCAGCAGGAGTTTGACATGAACGTGAACGAGCATAGCCAAGGCGTCAGTATTGTTGGTCACGAGGTCAGCAAGTTGTTGGTTGAGTTCAGCGTCTGAACTTATGTTTGCTCTGATACTCACAAGGGAATCAGTAGATTTAGTTAGAGCAACCCCAACCTTGATGAGTGTTTTTTGAAAGTTGACCAGTTTAAGGTCTGCACCTCGAGCAGTATGGTTTGAGCTTTGACCAAATCTCAGGGTTTATTTTCAGCAGAGCGAGCTTCTCGCAATTGTCTGGCCGGTCATATTTTCCCATCTTGCCCTTCAGTTTGGGCTCTTCCAACTCCGAGGACCAACGCTGATTTATAATATCTGCCAGCTTCTGGCTAACCTTTGGTCCTGTCGTAGCTTCATCAGCGAACTCCTGAGCTATCTCGCTCAATAAGTCATCCTCAGCTACTGAGGGGATTGAGTTTGGCGCTTCGCCATTTTGGCTGCCTTGTTTGCGGCACAATAAGCTGCTCCGAATCAGAGAGTTCCACTTCTGCATCAGAATGTGGACTATCAGTTTCTTCAGCAACTCGGAGTCTTTTCATTGCTCTTTCCTTGTCAGTTTCGACCCGAGAAAGACGTTTCAGAACAGATCTCAAATCCTCGCCCATGCTCTTAACCATAGCCTTGAAGTTTAGATTGTCTTCGTCTTTAGAACTCTCTTCTTGTTCGTCTTCACCGGCTAATAACAATACTGCTTCTCGCTCTTCCGAAAGGGCGTCCCTTTCAGCAGAGTTAGTCGCAGCCATAGTCATGGATGAAGGATTTTATTCGTTTTAAAATATCACTCTGGTTTTCTTTGAACTGACCTTCGCAAGGATCTTGCACAACTGATCTTCCGGTTCGCGCGCTTTCTCATATAATCACATGACTCTGTAGCGACCAATGATGAAACAGAATGCTGAGTGCATCTACCACATTATATAGACTAAATACACAGATTTATCACACTAAGAAACCAAAACTTGATAAAAATATAGAACTGACAGTGGCCAAAATCCAAAGCAAATGTAAGCGTAAGTTGCATAACATTAGACTTGAAAAAGCTTTAGAAATTCGATAAAAATTCGAAGACTCGAGCGAGTTTAAAATGTGTGTTCTGCGCACAGAAAGCACGCACGACCACAATTCCATGCGCTTAATAAAATTTAGTTCAAAACCCCCTCTCTGCATATATTAGGCTGCTACGCTCGCTTACTTCAGGCTTGCTCGCTCCGCAGCAATTATTATGCAGTTCCAAATTCAATGTTGGAATAATCATAATTGAATCAGTTATCAGAATACGCAAAAAGTGCAAAAGACCTGTGAAAATATGCATTCGATGCACAAATAAAGGGAAACAATCCGCATAAATATTTTAAGGGCTTTTACACGAGGCAACCTACGGACAACTGTGTTAAGCATGCATGCATTCTGTGATCAAAAGTGACCGTATCATGGAAGTAAGGATTTTCAAGGGAGTTAAATTTGTTGACGAAACATTTAGCTAAAAATGAACATTATGTAATAAAATTGACATGCATGGTCATGATGACCATGATGATAGCTAATACCTATAGTCTAACTATGTTTAGCAGCAATACTAATTATGACATTACACTACCTACAATGTAATTTTGTTTGATCTTCAGTCTTCTTAACTTGTCTAGACACTGTCTTGTGCTCATTATTATGTCTTATTTATTATGTACATGCATGGTGCATGCATGCATGTGTACACAAAATGTGAGATCATATTTGGAAAGTGCATTCGACGCACAAGTAATGGCTTTCCAGCAAGACAGAACTAGAATGCATGTATGTAGCATCTACATGTGATTGGTCCGCTCCTGTATATTTGTAAATTTTTGAAAAGAAACTGGTCTGTACAATCAAAAATATTTTATGAACCTCTGTACCGTACGTATAGTACTTGCACCTTCTTGCATATCGATATGTAAGCAGGACCATTGGCATGCATTGATTAATTGTCTTAATTTATTACAATGAAAAAAGCAAAAAGCCGTTTCAGAGAATGTAATCTTAAACCCGAAAATGCATGAAGCAAGTTTCCAAAACGTTGTTTATGGGTGTAAATTGTAAAAAAAACACGATTAAATGAAAACCTTGCTATGCATTGGATGGTCCTTACATTAGACACAAATATTAACTAACATGAGGCTCAATGGAGAAAGTCATTCATAAACTTTCTTGCCGTATGGTATATATGCCATTTTGAAGATTTACAAGTAGCACGGAAAAATTACATTTTGACTGATTTACATTTTGACAGTATTGCATGTGCACATGCATGCATGGTGAGTGTGTGTACGCAAAATGTGAGATAGTATTTGATAGGTATGCATTCGACGCATAAGTAAAAGAAAACAATACGCACAAATATTTCAAGTATGCTTTTACAAAGACAACTAAAATTAATTTACCCCATGCATACATGTGTGTGATGTTATGGCTCATGTAATGGGGGGGAGAAAGAAGTATAATTGATTGAAACTCGTGTATCAGCGTTTGTGCATGGAGGCCATCAGGTGATATGTATGTCTGGCATGAACTGTGAAGTGAACATCACTTATCAGTTATCAATTACAGTGGTGCAGGCATATCACCATGTGTGCAAAATGTACAAATTATGCTATATGAGAAGCTTGAGTTAAATATCTATTTCGATAAAGAGAAATTGCAGTGAAAGTGTTTTATAGGGTTAATTAATACATAGAAAGTGTATTTTGGATTTTTTGTTAAAAAGGGGACACGATGTTATTTTTTTAAGAATTACTGTCAAGATTATTCCAAACATCCATCCCTTTCACTGAAAGCGAGTGCTTGACGTGGTCAGTACTCTGCATCATGATCAAGACTTGTGAAATTTTATTGTCGAGTTTCGAGTGTTGTGTTGGTGAATTTGATTGTTTGAAGTAAAATAATTGTTGAGTATATGCTAATTTTGAGAATTTTGACACAAAGCTTCCCATACAGTTCATGTTTGGTATTACAGCGGCAATAGCCAACTGTCATACACTGCAAGCACATTATATAGCATCACGTTAGCCGACTTTAGAATATATAATTATATTGTCATACAACAGGACTACATATTATGTAAAAGTCTAAGTTGAGTTTTACTTGAACCGCAAACAGTAAGATTATTTTTGACAAAATAAGTGCGCTATTCACGTTTATTCAAGGCGTGCTATTAAGTATTATATATCAATTTTGCCAAATCGAGCATAAGCACAGTTGCAAAAAGCTAGCTATGAATCCAGATATTTGAATCTTTCAAGTTGTGGAAACCCTTTCCAAGCTCAGCCAACAGTAATCATTACACTGGAAAGGTTTTTTGGTTCTGTCAAATACGAGAGCTTATTTACATTTACCCCCAGGTAAAACATTTTAGGTCATGAGCAATCATTTCCTGACCTGACACTTGAGATTTGATACAGTCACATGCCAAATACAATAATTTCAATTTCCCATTTTAAAAATCCATTTTCTCTAGTCTTTGCATGGTCTCAAAGAAGATGAATAGAAAACAAGGTCTACCAACCATTACAAGCATATTATGCTTAATTATTTAGGTGCTAGGAAAAGCGCAAATGCATATAGTACCGTACCGTATATGATTTTGTTGCCAAAAATGTGCACTTATATTTCACGGGTGGGACAGAATGCGCACTCAGGTGATAAGTGAGGAAATTCGCACATCACTGAATATGAAAAGTATCCAACTTTTGAGTAGTGTAAAAAATCTGTGTTCACATAATGCACACCTGACTTCAATTCTTAAAACACTTTGTCTCGAAAAATTCGTACAGCAAAGTTAACAGTCTGGCATATAGGGTTTCAATCGAAATGTGTTATTTCAGTTATATTTTAAAAGACTGTGTAAAATCGAATTTGAAACACTTGGTAACCATGTCCAAATGAACAAAAGAAAAAGGGCAACGCTCATCTGAGATGGCTAGACGCATCTTTTCCTCACGTTAGATAAGTTGATAAGTACACTCATTCTTGTTAACCATCGTACCTGTTTGGCTGTTCCTTTTTCGATAAGAAACTTCGAGCGCCGAGTTATCGTACGGCACATTCAAGTGTATAAATTATGGATGATTCCAATGGACCATTTGCATTATAGACTAAATTTTGATCTAGACAAAAATTTCATCACAGCTTGAAAGAGCATCACAAAATTAGTAATATTCCAAAGTTTCGTTGCGAAATGTTGTAAAATGCGGATAATATAGTCTTGCGAAATTTGCAATTTTCGGTCATTTTGTATTACAAACGGGAAATTGATGCCCCAACACGCGATTAGGCTGTCAATTTCCTGTGTGTAATACAAAATGACTGAAAAACGGCAAACACGGGCGGGAAAACGGCTATGGCGCACCCGATCCATGTGCGATGCATGTACCCCGATTATAAATTCAAAATGGTAGACAATGAAGGAGAAAACATGCCAATTCCCTGTGTGGAAATTCCACAAAACTTAAGCTGGATTTATTCTGAAAAAGGTCAAACATTCTTTTGCAAGTTGCTCAATATTGTTGGTCTTCCAGTGAGCAAGGTAAATGAGTCGACCGCTGCAAGAACGTTATCAAAAACAAACAACCCTTATGAAAAAATCCTATAGAAATTCCTATAGGAAATGCCATTTCCAATAGGAATTCCTAATAGGAATTTCCTATAGGAATTCCTGTAGGATCCTATAGGAATAGAATTCCTATAGGAATTTCCTATAGGAATTCCTATAGGATCCTATAGGAATAGATTTCCTATAGGAATTTCCTATAGGAATTCCTATAGAAATAGATTTCCTATGGGAATTTCCTATAGGAATTCCTATAGGAATAGATTTCCTTTAGGAATTTCCTATAGCAATTTCCTATAGGAATTTCCTATAGGAATTTTCCTATAGGAATTTCCTTTAGGAATTCGTACAGGATGTTATATAGAATATAGAATCCTATTGCTGCTAATATGTTTTTACTCTGTTTCTTGTAGCAAAATACAAAACAAGTGTAACTCCAAAGATCTACATCGATATATATTATCGATCTTTGGAGTTGTTTTGTATTTTCTTAAAATACTCAGTGGTTATGTTTTTAGTATCAATGTGTTTAGCTAGCTAGGATTTCTATAATTCCTGATGGTCCCTAATGCAAGCACTCCTATTGGAATTTTATCCCTATATTAAAGAATTTAAAGAATATAAGATACAGCCAATAGTTTAACCCAAACGGTGGAAAATGAATCAGAAAGTTCTTAACATGTTATTCAGATGTCACAGGTAAGAATACTTTTATATTTGGCTATTATTTAAACACTTTAATTGCAAAATAATGTGGTGAATATGATTGTTAACTTGAGCCATGTGGGCCATGTGTCTTAAAATTATTCCGTCGAATGTTTGAATTTGCCGCGTTCAATTTGCATATAAAAATACAAAATGATGGTTTGTGGCAGGAGAGAAAGAATAAAATATAAATTCGAACCTATTATTGTGAATTCTATACTAAATTTCACACTATTATTAACAATTTAGCAATATTTTCCTTGGCATAATTTGGCACTTTGCTTAAGAGTTAAGACTATTGTCAAGCTGGGTAAATAATTCGTAGGTACTAAAGTAAGGAACGACTTACAACCACCTACAACCATCTACAACGACCTACAACGACCTACAACGACCTACAACCACCTACGAGCCTACAACGAGCCTACAACGATCTACAAAGATCTACAACGGCCCTGCAACGACCTACAACAATCTACAACGACCCTGCAATGATCTACATAGCGACCCTACGACTTACAATGACCTATGTTGAACGTCGCGATGCATGGCGATCATAACGTAAGTATCAGGTTCTATATTACAAATAATAGCTTGAGCAAAGTTTATATTCAAACTGTCGCAGGAGAAATTTAAATTTCACACAACGACAAAACAATCTAATATAGTAAAATATTAGCCTCCTCCGCAGGCAACTCTTGTGGCATCCCAAATGGTAAACTTTTGAAAAATCCCCATCAAAAAAGAGCAATACTGTTGCGAACAGCAAATTAATGTTGTTTCGGCCGAGTAGTAATAAAATTAAGGGGATTGGGTCGGGGGAAAGGCGGATCTTGGGGGATAAAATACGAGGAGAGGAGAAAAACGAGGGGAGGGAGAGTTGCCTGCCAAAAATCGAATGGTTGGACCATAGAAATAATAGATATAGAATGCGTACTCCTATCTTTTCTCAGTTAAAAATTTGTCTCCACAAAATGGCGGATTTATAAGGGCATTTTGGTTCCCAGACTCCCAGGCGGCAGGGAATTTCAGTGGGAATTTCGCACGGTTGCAGAGAGTGCAAATTGTTTTTTCAAATGCAAAGTTTGGAAAAATTTTATATCGAGACTTAAAATGGAAAAAAAAAGTGCAAAAAGTGTCTAAAACTCATTCTAGTGGGCTTTTTTATGAAAAGCAACAGTTCTGAACAGAATATATACAGAAATCACGTTTAAAAATAAATTTTCAACGTTGTTGTGCAAGGCAAAACCAAACCCGAAAGATCAAGACAAACTCAATAGGTATGTTCTATAAACATGAATTTTTTTTCTGTGCTGGTGTTGTGTACTCAGGTGAATAATATGTTTGTGATGGTATTGAAAGAACTAGATACTGTTCCGAAATATCACTTACTCGAACCGTCCTGACCGCGTAGCTCAGTTGGAAGAGCATTGGGCTAGTATTCCAAAGGTCGTAGGTTCGAATCCCACCGTGGCCGGGCATATTTTTCAAGCTCGTCCGGTGTGGATATGCACTCAGAGTAACATCACAAACATTCTATAAACATTTCAACTTTTTTATAATATAATATAATATAAATGCAGTTCAGTAATCTTTTTAAACTTACACAATTATTTTTCATATTTTTCTGTGTTGCTTGAGCTTGAGGCAACGCTTGTGAAACCATAGTTTTCGAGGATTATTTAGACAATTTACAGTCTATCGACAACTAAATATTTTTGTTTCAAAAAAATAAATCGTTTACATCAAAGAAAAACGAAACCCGACGAAGAAAGAACTATCATTTTGTAATCTTATAAGATATTAGCAAAACAGTGACAGTAGTGACGTTCAAAGCATGCAAAAATGTTTTATGAGTAAATTTTGAGAAACCAGCGAAAATACTTTGTTTACAAGGCTGCACGATTTTCACCGTTTTTGTAACTGCATATTTGCTTTGACAGTTTGTGCCTTCAAAAAACTCAAAATCTATCCCCAAACTATAAATTAGACAACAAGATAAACGTTTTGACGATGAAAACGTATTTTAGCTTTGTTTATACTTTGTAGTTTGCACTCCTAGTCAAATTCAAACATGGCGGATTTATAAGGGCACGCATGAGAAAAAGTGGAGACATGATTCGTGATCAAGTGCGCATTCTATCTCTATTATTTCTATGGGTTGGACGCAACAATTCACGTCAGTGGACATGACAATTCACCCCGGGTAGGGTGAGTATAATTTGCTCTAAAATTCGCACAAAAATATTCATTGGCATTGCAGTCAACTATTAAAGTCAACATGGCTGAAAGTGTAGGTAGTTCGAAAGCATTTCAATCGAAGATACCATGCTATGTGAGAACACAAGTCCCTGTATGCAGTTTAGAATACAAGAATATTTCGCGGAGTGCGGCAAAAAGAAACCCAAATAGCAGAAATACAGGACCAGATTAAAGCGAAAAAGAAAGGGTTGGCCGATTGTAAGAAATCACATTTTGACAATTTTGGGTTTATATATTCATCGAGTATCAGTATGGATCATAAAGGTGATCAACCCTTGAAGCAATCGATGATCCCCGTCGCTGCTAATAGTCAGAGGAAAGTAATTTATACTCCAGGAGGAACCAAAAGGAAAGGCAAGTTTATACAAACTATATTTTAATAATGCGATTGCTTGAACAATCGTTCATAAGAATAGTGCTACTAGTACTGTAGGGGGAGCAATTTTACCGCCAGGTTTTAATGTTTTAGGGCTGGCTTGTTTCTACTGTGTATTACATATATATGTAAAAAGAAAAACGACTAAACTTTAATGTAAATTTGCGTATTTAAATTATTTTATAGTAAAACCTTCCTACCAAGCATTTAAGGCAGATGTGAAGACAGCCTTAGAATGTTTGATTTGCAAGAAGGCAGAATCTATTGTCATGGTAGATGATTTAATGCAAAAACTTAATGAAAGGTTTCCAGGAGTAAGTGGTTTTGAACGACCAAATGTATTAAAGGAGCTATCCAAAATATATGGAAAGAAGGTGGAATATATGGGGAAGAAAAAGAGGTATAGTGAATGTTTCATTGCTAATTTCTAGAAGCATATTTCCTTGACCTTGCACATGATTATGTTCTCTTTTTATTTTCCTTGTTGATCTTACATACATTTAGTTATATGGTGTTTACATGGAGATGAGACAGCTCGGGAAGCTTGCTTTTCCATATATATGGGAATCTACATACAGCCCTAGGCAAGGTCCCAACCTAACAAATACAGAAAGTAAAATATTGCCTAAGTGTGTCAGGGCGGTTCCAATATATATTCATGACAAATGACATAGCCAAAACAAGTTAGTTCAGTTATCCAGGTGGGACCCCCTCCATACAAAGTCGCCCTTAGAACTATATTACATAATTGAGGTGTATTATAATATTTCATTCTTTTCAGAGCCTATTATCGGGGATTAGGATTTATTGAAGACCAGGAAAATTCTGCAGGTAAATTGAATGTCAAGTAGTGGGTCTATAAGTGATATATTATACAAAAAATGAAAAGCCTTCAAATTGAGACATGCCACAGACCTTATTATCATTTTTTTTACTAAAGCAAGTATTTGTTGTTTGTGTTTCGAATATTTTTTACGGAGCATACAATTTAATTTGTCAACATTGAATAATAACTAGACAAACACTTTGTTTACAGGGATCAGAAATGGGTCGGAAATGCAAAAGTCAAGCAAAGCCAGAAAAAGTATATTAATTTTTTAAGAGTAATATATAATATTCTATATTTCACAACACTGCCTAATATATGCATTTTCTTATATACAATTTCTGACATATCTAGTTTATAGATAAAGAGCAGAGCCCAGCAAATAACTTTAAAACCAAACATAATAAAAGTAAAATTTTAATTAGCTAACGTTTCGTTGTTTACAATACAACATCTTCAGAGCAATCTAAATGAATTTATAGGGTATGGTATATATATTTACAAAATAATGGTTGAATATTACAAAAACGGTTACATAGTTTGAAAGAACAAATGAGTAGAAAGAAAGGAAAACAACTTATCAGTAACTAGTTAATAAGTAAAGATTAATGTTAAGTGCATGGTTAGTATAGTTAAGGTTAATATTACATATCTAAAATAACTCAAGAGGGGTAGATCTAATATTAGCATTAAGGACAGGGTTAAGTTGAAAAATTAATAGGCTTTCACGGATAAGAAGA